CATTGTGGTGGGGAGCTGGTATCTATGGTGGATCCGTCGGCAATTCACTCACGATGGAACGCCTCCTCCTACTTTTAAATGGCCGATGTCCGTATTGGCGATAGCAAATAATTACCATCAGGTTAATGAGAAGATGATGAATACTACCGTAGAAAAATGGGGGATACCAGAACCCAGGTTTGTCAAACTAAATGTTGATGCCGCCTTTTTTGTTGATGAAGGTTTGGGTGCTACAGCAGCTGTGATTAGGGATGAGAAGGGAACATTCCTAGCGGCGCAGTGTAAATTTATACCCCATGCAGCTAATGTAGTTACCACCCAGGCCCTTGCGATGAGAGATGGATTGGCTTTTGCAAATTCACTTGGTTTCCCCCGGATTGAAGCAGAATCAGACTCCACAACGGTGATAGAATCATGTGATGGCCAAGCTAGATGGTGGGATGAAGCAACAGCTATTTTTGCCGAGTGTGTGGATCTCTCTTCGTTGATCGGGAAGGTCAAATTTCAATACTGCCCACGTTCTTGTAACCAAGCAGCGCATGTGCTACCTAACTACAGTTATTGTAATAAGATTTCTTTTAGTTGGACGGGTGAGCCTCCGGGCTTTCTCGTTTCGAACCTTGTGGACGATGTAATCCCTATTTTCAATCAATAAAGCTAGCCATGATGGCCCTCCCTCAAAAAAAGGTATATTTGACCACACATAATATTATGGCAATTTATTGTCAAAAGGGAAATATTAAAATATTTCCCTCATATCTTTTTATTTTAATCTACTAAAAAATCACATTCAATCCTCGTACGATCTATGTTGTATCTATCATATGAAGATGGATAATTCCCCAGAAAAAAGATGGATAAGTGTAATGTTGTGAAATATGATACATATCCATGGAATCCTAAATATTTGTATATACACTACAATCTACAAATGGCATTATTATAATTCGTCTAGATTACAACCTAATAATCATCACCATAATTAAACAGTATGTGTACTCCCATTATTCTGAGAGAGTTAGTAAAAATTAGATGTACACATGCCATGCTAGGAACGTGTTTGAATTTTTATTGTGTGAGAAATACACTAAACTTTGTCCGTTATACATTCTCTTCTCAAGGAAATAAAATGTGCATGAACATTGGTACACATGGGTGCTCTGTTAAAGAAAAATACTGATGGTATTTTGTCTGCTTTTTGCTATGATTTTGTCAATTATTATTCATTTACCATGCAAAAGAAAAAAAACTAGTATTCATTTTTGGTGTTGTCTAGAAACAATTTCTATGCATTCTCTATTGTTTAGCTCCCAACCGACAAAATAAAACATGCATAAACATATATCACAGAACTTGACAAACTTCTTATTTCATTTGTTAGACATAATGATAAGGTACGTTCAGCAAAAGAAAATAGTTGGGGAAAATCAGCTAAACAAATAATTGGCAAAAAATCTGGCATTAATTAGATCTGTTATTTTTATGCTATGTATGCAAGGTTTTAAAGAAAGGGAATAAATTATAATAATTTATGTCCTTAATTATAGCACAACAATGTCTAACCCCCATCCCATTATCAATGGTCTATTACCTCCTATTACATGTTGTATGAACCATTAGTTCATTAAAATTGAACGGTCCATAATGATCTGGACCACCTTAAAATTTTCCTAAAAAACTGTTGTGCCACCGTTCAGAGTAGCACCATCCAACGTTTTTCCCTTTCTAAAAGTTCTCTTTAATCCATCATCTTAAGTGTATCCGATGATTAAGTACAAACCAAAACACCTGTCGTTCTGCAAAGAAGACATGATCACACTGTACTAGCATGTGCCTACTGCCAACCACCTGCTTTCGGCCCAGATTGGAAGTACCTCTTGCATGGGGCCTATCATAGAATACGGTGATATATGACCTTGAAGTTGGAGCTGTAATTGCAATACGTCTAGCAACAGACATCCCCATGCTAGTTCGGCGGGTAGGATTGAGAGCTGCCTGCAGACCGGCCTCTGCAACTCATTTTCGGGCTCCTGGTGACCATTTTATAGGAGAGGACAGCCAGCTCCGACCTTCCAGCAAGGTTCGCTGCTCACATTCGAGCACATGGTGGCCTGCGCCGCACCCGTCGCAACGACAACGATTTTGCCTTCCATCGACAGTGACACACCCATGTGCCGCATACGCGCCTCGCGTGGCAGCAAGTGTCTGACGGGTGGGCGCCCGGGCTCTCATGGTCCACCTGTTAGTCTGTAGTGTTGTGGCGCTGTCGGTACTTGCAGTCTACCATGGCCTGTTGAATTTTTCTTGGTCTTAGCTGATAGTAGGATACTGGTGGTCGTGCAACATTGACCGATGACTCAATACAGAGGTGAGGTTGCTTGGTTGGCAAGGTCCCAATGATAAAGACTTTCAGTCGTTTTCTCTATTTTCTAGGGAAAATGATTTCTTCGTGTGGAGAAGAATGAAGACCTGCCAATTCATTATCTCCCTTGAAGGATAGTGGGAGGTAGCCGTTTGGTTTTACCATGTGTCTTCTATCACCTTTTTTTATCATATATATAGAGAAATGTTACGGTTAATATATTTTGATCCCATCCTAGACGCCGCACACCAGCACGAACTCTTCCCGTGGCAGCCGTCTTGTCCTCTTCCCCAGCGAGGGCAGATTTGCCAGCTGCGGGAATCAAGCCTCCTCGTCCGTGTGAAGGAGGAAGATGTCGTTCCCGTCGACCCCCTCGTCCATATGAACAACGTCATAGTCAGTCTAGGCCCAATTGAAGTCGGCGCCGGAGCCCGAGGACCATATCGATGTCGTGTTGCGGCTTCCACCCTCAAAGCTCGGAACATTGGTTATTTTGAAAATGACGTCAAACTATTTTTCAAGTCGTTAATTATATTTAAAGGGAAACATTTTGGCTACTGAATATAGTTGCCATTAAGTTATCGACATGATACCTGCATTTGGTTCATAATAATTTGAGCTTAAATTGCCCCCTGCAAAATTAAAGAAAATGACCAAAAAAGAAGAAACAAAATGAAGTTTATGGAGGCCACATCATGGCAATTCTGTGTTTGCTCACAACATGCACGTCCACTATATGCATATGGAGTGCGCTCCATATCACCTATGGCGACACTGCGACAGTTGCTCTAATATATCTGGATTATATTATTTAACAAAAAATGAGTAGTACAAAGAAAATATCCACGTGTAAGATAGTTGTCCATGTGCCTGTGGGGACTTGGAAATACATCTAATTCCGCAAGGAAATTCTTCCGAACTGTATTCGTCATTGCCTGCTTGGTCGTCGGAGGAGAGCATGATGCCGAGAAGAACAATGGTGTGGCACCAACACAAACCTAGAAAGAGAAACTCCTCATTATTGTCTTGGTAGGCATCCAACCAATGTCAAGGCTGGCTAGCGTCACCGGTGGAATCGACGAAACCCAGCAGTGATCACTCGCCTGTGGGAATTACATGCACACAAGACAAGGCCAAAACCGCATGACAACAACAAAACTAACACCACCAAACGCTGGTGAACATGCCCGACGATGAGACTGACCCATCGGCTCCTCAATAATGTCGACATACCATCGAGGTGGGGTTGAAGCCTGGGCACAACCATTATTTGACGCAACACCGCCACCAGACCCTAAACAATGACCCAGCAGTGATCACTCACATGTGGGAATTACATGCACACAAGACAAGGCCAAGACCGCCTGCCAACAACAAAACGAACACCACCCATGGCCGGTGAACATGCCTGACGATGACACTGAAAAACCGGCTCCTCAACAATGTCGACATACCATCGAGATGGGGTTGAAGCTGGGGCACAACCATTATTCAACGCAACACTGCCACCAAACCTGAAACAATGACACCACAACGCCAAGCTCTAACCTTTTTTTAGGGTCAAAGCAAAACACTTTATTACGCAACCAGGTTAGGCATGTCGCCTAAAACAAGTCCGGCCACAGACGCCGGTACATCGACATCCCTTATATGGTGGGTTCATTCACACTACATTCATATCCTAACTTAGCGAGCTCATGCGCAACACCGTTGTCTTCCGCCTACATGCAATAACATCACACTTTGAGAACCATAGCCTCATCTCGATCTTCAGATCGTCCAGGGCCGAGGCATATGCTGAGAAGCTTGGTTCCTTCTGCGTGAGGTCTGCTTGGAGGAGATGCGAATCAGTCTCGATGCAGATCCGGATCAAACAAGCAAAATTGTGGTTCTCCCCACCTCCGGCCGGAGCATTAGACGGGTGGGAGGATGTGGAGATAGGAGAAAGAAGAGATCAGCTGAGAGGCGGTGCTCGTGTGTCTTGGTTGAGGGAAGAGGAAAATCAATTTATTTATTTGGAGTAGAATGAAGGCCCACCAATTATTTCTTGGGATAGAAAGTGGTGGTAGTTGTTCCTTCCGTTTTACCATGCTTCTTCTCTCTCCTTTTATGATAGGGAAATGTTTGGTTTAATTTATTTTGCAGTTTGGTCACAGATTCTTGCTACACATACTTTTGAGAACGTGCCCAGTGCACCAGTCAAATTTATATGGGTTTTGACCACTGGGTGTAATAAAGATGCTCGTAGTTGATGTAGACTTAGTCTTTTTGAGGGTGATGTAGGCTTAGTCTTGCTTGCCTAAACTAGCGAGTCATGTAGGGGAATAGTAATCCAACGAAGGAAGTAGGGAAACAAATAGCATCCTGGTGATAATGAGCTTAATCTCTTGTAAATTGACAGAAAACACCAGGAATTTGAATCATGGAATACAACCAACCAATCAATGAAAAAATACAACAAGTGACGACAGTAGAAATCTCAAAACTTTAACCTAACAACAGAAGCTATTTAAACCCAAGCTCCAACCTTAGCCATAAGCTAATTGGAGAACATACGGGATCTTATGCATGCATTGTTGTTCCCGGTTAACATTACATGAGACCGGGTCGAGAATGGAAGGGGAGGCGGGGCGTAGCCATGGCGGCCCGATCAAGGTTGCTCTTCTTCTTCTCCCTCCCCTGCTCCTTCTTCACACCTTGCTGCTGCTTCTTCTTGCCACCGTCGCCCGAATCTTTAGCAGGCGATGACGATGAGGAGGACGTTGACGACAAGCAGGAGGTGTTCTTTGGGAGCACCTTGACATCGGAAGGCCCACGACAGAATCCCATGGCTGCCCTGCTAAAGCTACTGCTGCACTATCTTTTCCCCTTCTTCCTTTCTTCCCTCTGCTCTCTCAGCTCACTCTGATCAAGGTTTCTTCAGCTCACGTAAAACTCAGCTTTTCTCCGCTGCTGATCCGTGATCCGGTGTGTATGTTTCACTACCACTCACTCTGTTGGAAAAGCAGGGCTCCCGGCGACCTTTTTATAGGGGAGGAGAGCATGGCGATCCAAACTTCCATCCGAAGGTCCGCTACTCAAAACTCTGAGCAGGCATCGGAAGGTTCACTACCACTCACATTCGAGCACATGGTCAACTGTGCTGCACCCGTCGCAACGACAACGATATGCGCTTCCATTGACAGTTACGCACGTACGTGTAACGTACAACAGATACGCGCGCCATGTGGCAGCAAGTACCTGACGGGTGGGTGCCAGGGCTCTTATGGCCCACCTGTTACTCTGTAGTGTATGTGGCGTGGGTGGTACTGGTTGTGTATCGTGGCCTCTTGAATTTTCCTTGGCCTTGCTGATAGGACACTGCTGGTCATGCAACATTGACCAGTGACCCAGCGTAGAGGGGAGGTTACTTGGCTGACAAGGTCTTCGAGATAGCGACTTTTTTTCTCTATTTTCTAGGGGAAAATGACTTATTCGTGTAGAGTAGATTGAAGAGCTGCCAATCATCTCCTGTAATGGAAAGTGGGTGGAAGCCGTTTGATTTTTCCATGTTTCATGTGCCACATCTTTTGTATAGAGATATGTTAGGGCATCTACAGCCGCCCAGCTTAAATTTGGCTCCTCAAACATCCATGGACGTATCCGGCCAGTTTTTGAGCATTTCTTTTTAAGACCTCATTTATGCATGCATATAGCCATCAGGACCGTGCGTGTATACTGCTGCTTGGATTGTGGCAAGTGAAGGAAACATCATAGGATGACTTCGTTTGGTGGTCTCGAGCTCCGGGGTGAAAACCCTAGGTATGACCAGTGACGTACCCAAGTTACAGCCATGCCCCGGGCTAACCTCGTTGCAACAGTAATGAACAGTACCAAATAGTGGTATTTTTTGTACAGTAAACACAGCAGCATGCGGCCACGCCCCGGGCCATGGCCCTAGTAGCCTGGGGCCTAGCTACGCCACTGGGTATGACCCTTTGGTTATACCTGGCAATGGCGGTGTTCTCTGCGTCGTATCCTTGATGAAGGAACTGCTCGGAGTTTCCTCGGACTTGATCTTCAAGGTGCAAACCCATGATCTGACCTTCGATGGTAGGATTGGGCGATGGCGGCGCTTGCAGATCGTTCTCTTCTTGAAGACGTCGCTTTTAAAGAACCTTCTTCGTAGTCCTTGTGCTATCAAGACATGATTGGTGCCAATGGTCACTGCCGTATGTCGTCAATCGTTATTTTCATCGCTTTTGTTTTTTTTCTTTTTCCCCTTCGACTAGACATAGCTTCGGTCTTCGAATGAGTTTGCTATTTGCCGACGTGATACTTTGCGCGCGCGCGTGTGCTTGTGTGTGTGTGTGTGTGCGTTAGTTTTGGCTGTGTGCATCCTAGTTATGCAGAGGTCGGGTGTGTACTCACTATAATTATATCGCTCGATGCTTGATTTTAAGTCAATAAAAAACATCTTTTTGTCGAAAAATATCTCAAACGTGACTGGGTTGCGCAGGTAGGGAGACGAACCGCGCTGGTCTATGCTATCTAGTTGGAGTACCGGTAACCAGCCACATCGGCATGACAAGTGCAGCCAATCTAGTCAGAACTAGTGGCAAGCCATTATGGTTAAACTTGACACAATGTAATAACTCCAAGGTAAAATGTTGCGGAAATATTTGAATGGGGTAAGCATTATTACATACATAGAAACTAGGATTAAAATGTGCAATTCAGTTAACGAAAATCATGAACCAATCCTTTGTTGGGTTTGCCTTGATGAAGCAGAATCCTTTAGTTATGTCAACACACTTTCCTAAGTAAAGTACTTTCATTTTGACATGTCTTTATCTATTGGATGAAAATTCTCTTTTTATTTTACTTAGTTCTGCATCACACATCCACATTCCGCAGGGAGGGAAGACATGAAAGATCATGTCTTTGTTCACCCAAGCTAGTAAGTTCAGTCAAGCCAGAGGAATAACAATCCAAGATAAAAGTAGGGAAACAAATATTATCATGATGACAATGAATGTAATGTCTACTAGTAAGTTGACAAGAACACCAGCAATTGGATCAACCGACCGTCCATGAATAAAACAGTACACGTGGACACAGTACAAATGAAATCTTCAGCGGAACAACCGAGGCAAACCCGGGCGTAAGCTAATAAGAGAACCTACAGGATTGTATGTTGTATGCACTATTGTTCTGAAAATCTGCAAACTCTATTACATTAGGCCGGGTCGAGAATGGAAGGGGAGGCGGGGCGACGCCATGGCGGCCCGGTCAAGGTTGCTCCTTTTCTTCTCTTTCCCTTCCTTCTTTACGGCTTGAGGCTGCTTCTTCTTGGCGCCATCGCTGGAATCTTTAGCGGACGGCGAGGGCGAGGAAGCCAAGGAGTTGTTCTTGGGGAGCACCTTGACATCCGAACACCCACAGCAAAACCCCATTGATGCTCTGCTAAGCTTCTACACCACTAAAATTTCCCCGTCCCTCTCTTTCTTTCTTTCTTTCCTCTGCTCTCCAAGCTTAGAGAAAACTCAGGTCTTCTCTGCTACTGATCGTGTGTCAGTGTGTGCTTATGTGTTTCTGTAGGAAAAGCAGGGGAGCCCTGGAGACATTTTTATAGAGGGAGGTGACCGGATCCTCTAACATTATGAAGGAAAGTCACAGTGCTACACTGTTTGCCTAGTGTAAAATGAAAAAGAAAAGTTAGGAACTGTTAGCAGATAGTTAGTAGGTTGTTTACTATTGATATTTATTGTAGATATAAATAATTTAAAATTAATTTTATTTCACCATCAATTTGTTTGTATGTAATTATTATAAATGTACATGATAGATCATCAATTTATAAATTAATTTAAATTGTTTTAGTCATAATCATATGAAAGAAAGAAGGAAAGTTAAAGTATTATAGCTTCTCTAACTTTCCTTCTCAATGTTAGAGGATGCGGTGCGAGCAGGGCGCTCCAAACTTCTCTAATTCGAGCATGTGGTCATCTGTACCCGCACACGAGCCTTCCTACGACAGTGACGCTCGCGTACAACCACGCGTAGGCGCGCGCTGCGGCAGCGAGTGCCTGACGGGTGGGCTTGCGGACTCTCCTGGTCCACCTGTCAGCCATAGTGTATGTGGCTCTCATGGTACTTGGTGTACACCGTCGCCCTGTTGAATTTTCCTTGACCCGTCTGATTTTGGGATAGCGTTGACAGGTGACTCAGCAATGGAATGAGCTACTACTAGCTTCCTTGGCAGGCAAGCTTCTCGTGCTAAAGAAAGAGACATGCCAATCATCTCGTGGGATGGAAAGTGGGTCGAAGCTAAGCCATATGATTTTGCCATGTTTCCTTTTCAGCTTCAATATTTTATCAAGAAATGTCTTGCTGAATCCAAACTGATTTACTCCACCGAAGAATTTCACCACACATATTTGATCAAGCTGTTATTTCGGCTGTGTTATGTAGGCGTGGTGGATGCTGGCCCTTGCCGGTGGAAGGGTTCCGTTTTAGCAGTTTCTTTAATTTTTGTTAGGTTTTGCATCCTTCTAAGGAATGCGAGACGATGGCAGCTCCCTAGAGATGGAATAAAGTTATCCCTGCCTACCTCCCGTCCCGGTGGTGCGCCTAGCATCGTCGGTGGCATGTCGATGTTTGTCTTTGATGGATCCGTCTTTGGTGGATTTGCTTGGATCTGGTCATCGTTTGTCTACTTCGTGTGTCTTCAGATTGTATCCTTCCGATCTACACTACTCTTCATCGATGGTGGTTGCTATTCTGCCGCTCTAGTCCTATGAGGTCTTAGTATGACGATTTCCCGACTGTCTATTACAAACAAGAAGTAGAGAAAAACATGCTAGAGTTCTTGAAGCGTCTCAATACCAATCGAGATATACTACTTCCTTACAATTTCCAGTGAGTCACACTGTCTTGTACTACAAATTCCGTTTTTGCTTACTAGCTAGATGTTAATAAGTGTATAGGGTTTAGGGTAACTGATGAGAGTTATGCACATGCTCGCTTAATTCATACATGCAAACGTATGCGCATGCAGGTACCACTGGATCTTGTTAATCATTTAAGTTAAAGAAGGAACAGTTGAAGTACTGGACTCACTGCTTAAAGAACCTAAAGACTACTCAATCGTGAAGGGGATAGTCAACAGGTAATTCAATCATTATTGAACTATATGTCGGCCTCTTTAGTTCGTCATTTCCTGATATCAACTAATTACTAACTTCTTTATTCATTTTCTTTGCCGGCAGGCAGGGCTTGACAAAAGTACATCAAAACGGTTCCAAGCGAATGGAAAGAAAAGTTATATTGGTTTCGACCCAAGGTAAGTAATTAAGTAGTACTAGCTAGCTATCTACCATCTCTTTAATTCTAGTTTCAATACCATTAATTATCATGCTTTATTAATTCTTATCTGATTGAATTCTATATTCTCGTAAAGGTCATGAAGCAGGCGCCGGAGACTGATTTATATGCATACTACATTTGCGAGAATATTCGCATGACGGCATCCGAAAGGACCAAAGATGATAGACAACTATGGGTACGTTTGCCAGAACACTATTCATAATTTTTATATCATTATCGATATCTAATCACACAACTAATACATGCATATTGATCCCCTTCTTAAAAGTTCAATGAGGTGCGGGATAAGCTCCTATCAACGGAGCGCATACGAGCACTTCAAGAAGAAATAGTGGGATTTTTGCTCGACCAGATCATAGATCCCAAAGGAGAATATCATTACCCGCTACCGCCGCTACCGCAGGAACCAAGGCAAATGCCACATGCCCCATGAACCACTCCCAATTGTCATCGTGCTCCGAAGGCACCAAGGCAAATGCCACTGGCTCCGAAGGAAACATGTAGGAGAAATTGTATATACCTAATTGTATATATATACAT